ATTTTGGTTCTTACAAGTAGCTACTAAATTCATCAATGAGCTGTGGTGATATTGAGTCCCGTTCTTTTTCCATCAACAAAATTATGGGCCAAAATGGAGAAAGGCAATTCCATTACAATTTTGTAAGAACGTGGAAAAATAGACCTATATACTTGGATACAATACAAATAGCCAAAAGATGTTGAACCTAGAAGGTTACATATGGGCATTTGTAATACCATGAAATACACTCACATGATATGACACAAGGTTGTAAAGGAGTTCATATGAATGGAGAATTATATACGAAGGGTTATGAGTCGCCCACATCATATCTCCATAAGTAAATCCCTCAAATATACATGGAAGCAAATTGCTCTGTATAAATTCTAAAGGAAAATGTGTCATGAAGTGTAGAAAATCCCTGAAGGATTTAAATTGCTTGAAGTAAGCCCCGGAAAGGTAAAGCATAAAATATGTACTCAATACCAATGGATGGTATAAATTACCTTAGTGAGCACTTTCATTATGGTATTGTTGCAACATACTAAAACTCTTGTAAGAGTTGATGATATTAAATTGGGACTCCTAAAGAGTCAAGAAAGATTATAAAGTGTTGAGAGAAATATTGTCTCGAACTGCAGAATCGAACAATATGCCAACACGAATCTTATCCATAATGTTTATGACATTAAAGAATCGTATGGATTGAAGATTATGAGTTGAATACTCAAATGATTTAGACACTAAGAATGATCATTTATCTTCGTGAGGGTAAAGATAAATTGATATTTGGTCCAGAAGTACCACATCTTAGTGAAATATATGCTTTATTGTATTTAACACAATACACTAAATGAAATAAAGCTTATATATTAACATCTCCGAGAAATTACATACATATGAGTTAAAACAAACATACAGAAGGGGACCTTCACAAAGATTACTCATGTGAAGCCTCAGTACTCGGAAGTACCCCAGAAGGGGAAGACACCAGAAGTTGATTATTTGGAGTCTCAATACTTGGTGGAACTCCAGACAGCTAAGACAATGGATGTCTTTGGAATAAAGACTCGAACCCCCGATTGTCATTTTGAGTCCGACCTTCGGATTCTAGTAGCTGGTCGAGTTTTCTTGTCATGCTCGTAGAGTAATTATTTGCAAGCATGTGTAACACTCTATTCTCATGCTTGAGCCCTCTGATCTCTTGTCTAAGACTTGCCACCTCAGCCATTAATGATTCAACTTGGTGAGTTCGAGCAAGTAGACGTTGGCCCATATTGGATACAGAGCCCGTACATTGAACATTGAGAGCCAATGAGTCTTGAACAACCGCCTCATCAGACCGGTTTGAAAGGATTCTGTTGTCCTTTGGAGTGAGAAGATTCCTGGCTACCACTGTAGCAGTTATGTTATTCTTCATCACAGAGTCCCTAACCGTAAGAGGACCATTAGAAGTTGAGAAGGACGGGCGCCATATGTTATCCTGACGCTGCTCGTCTGTATCAATCCTGAGACTCAAATCTAAACAAATGTTAGATGGGCAAGCCATTTTCAGAAATGATGAAGGAAGTCAGATAAAATCTCAGAAGTACAAGAAAGGGAAATTTCTGCAGGCAGCAATTTTCTGAGTGTTACTGAACAAAATTGATATCTCTATAAAAGGAGGGACAACAGGACCACTTATTCAAAAATCGAAGAGACACCGATTTTCGAATCTCAAACGCTGGATTTCCCTGCATGACGTCTGTCAACATTTCTCAGACGCAATCTCAGCTCTTGGATATCACGTGCAACTTTGTCAAAGATTTCTGATAAAGTTGAAAACGCGTGAATCTTACTGTTCTAATTACACCACAGTTGCTGACAAGAGTAAAGGCACAGTTTTACTACCTGCTATTGGAAAATCAATATATATGTCAACCTTTGTCCTCCACGGCAAGGCAGAACTGAAAAATATCTAACTTTTCCTCATCTCCGAGAATGCATCTTTCACAAAGTATCTCGAAATACTCAGTTTTCTTCCTCCCTAAGAATACCTCTACAAACAAGTCACACCAGAGCAAGAGTATCTCATATCATCAGGGACGAGAGCAAGAGTATCTCATATCATGCAATCTCCCTGTCCTTTCCTTTGTCCTTGTTCTTACCTGCCAAGACAATGACAGAGAAAGCAATATGTCGGAACCTCCACTCAAACTTTCGCTGTCACCAAGAAGTGATGGTCCATTCAAATACAAGGTTTGCATTCCACTCCTGTATCAGAGGACAAATACTACAAGAGAAGATGCCAAACCTGCATAAGGAAAATACCACTTCTGCAAGAGGAGCAAGTAAGGCAAGTGAAAATGATACATTGAAGCATGTGGAGACAACCACAACAAACACATGTCAGTTCATCCCCGACAAAGCCTAAGATCACTTGTCACATGAAGCTCCTCATGATCCAATTTCATTCAAGAGCAAGCCTAGACAGCCTTTGAAGAAATCACAAGTCCGATTCAAGATCAAGTGTCCAACACCCTTGAATTAAATTCAGCTCCAGATAAAATAGGTAAATTCAGACCTTTGGAGGAAGTCTAGCAGAAAGGCCCTCCAACCTAGTTCAAGAACAAGTCTGTGGAAAGTTAACAATAAGTGAAACACCTCATTCGGCAACTATCACCGCTAAAAGACTAAAGCAGCAGGATCAATGATCAGCTTAAATAATTTGAAATCAGGGGGGAGATACTCATCAAGGGGGAGCATCCAAAAATAGATCAAGATCTTAACGAGGCAACTCATGTTGATATGTGGGCATCCAAGGGGGAGTGTTGAAAAGTCTAGTGGGTATTGAATGCCCACATAGAAACTGCAGACTTTGGGTGGGTTTTCAATGCCCGTGCAGTTAATCTTGACTTGGGAGATAAAGGAAGTTATATTGTCAAAGATGTGTGCTTGGAGTTGCTCTATAAATAGAGCACTCCGTATGCTTTGAATAGATAGCAGAAAAAAGAAAGAGAGGAAGAGGAGAGGAGAGAATACATAGAGTTATCTTTGTACTCCTATTTATAATAAAAGCATCACTGCTGCCCGAGGACGTACTCCAGTCACACTGACTGTAGAGGAACCTCGTAAATTTTGTGTCTTGTTTTATTTATTCCACTGTACACACATCGTCGATTTTACAACAATGTTAGAGATATTATGTTTTAAGAACATATTTTATATACAGCGTGATGTGGTGATAGATGGTTGAATTTTTTTATAATAATTTAAAGAAAGAGTTACAATCATCGTCATATCATGTGTGGTTTACAAAATATGATTCAAGCAAATGATCTCTCTAACACCATCCTTAAGAAATATGAGTAATCAGGGAGTTGTTGTGGACTCTTGAGGAGCACGGTGTGAAGGTGTCCACTCAGATATGTTTGTTGGAGACATAAAACAATGAGAAACCTCTTTCTTGGAGAGGACGCATGACAGAGTCAACATCCCAATAGTGTGTGTTTTTTATGATCCAATATTTGATTTGTTGGGCCTAAGTTCGATTTTGGTCTTTATGAGGGTGCAAGATTGGCAGTAGGAGGGCTAATTATATTTTACATACTAGATTTTAATTTTTTCACATCACACTTTGGAATTTTGAAATTATTTCAATTTACACATTTTATTCCTCATACATTAAATTGAATAGGCTTTTTGTCAATGTAGTGCAAAATGTGGTTTACACGTTAGTTCATATAAAGATCTCAAGCTGATTATGTCATCTGCTTAATGAATTATCATACATTCAATCCCATCAAATGCAAAAATTGTTGCAATTTCAATACTTTATAGTGAAAAAGAAGAAAAGTAGAACTTCGTGACCTATTTTGAAAATCATCTTAAATTTGAAGAGTGTATAATGTAATTAACATTTGGCAATATAAGAATAGTGGACCGACCACTTTGGTGCCATAACATATAATTATTCGTGATTACACTCATAATAGGATTTGATAGAAAGTAGGATATCGACATTATATATAGAGTAAAAATCTTTGTATAAATCAATTTTATAACTATAGGGAGGTTATTACTTAATAGAGGTTTTTTAATTAAAATTTTTATTATTATTAAGGGGAGGGAATTAGATGACTGATTGGGAGTTTCGAACCCGAGATCCAAGGGTAAAACTCAATACTATATCCACTAAAGTATTGGACCACATGCAAATAAAGGTGTTTTTCACTTAGTGATCCTTAATGAATGTGTCATAGATACAAACAACCACATTAGTAGTTGAGCATTCTAATTCCAAGCTGTGACTTTGAAAAAAAGACAACCCAATTTGTTAATATTTTATTTATCATTCCAGAAAAATGTTTATTTCATCTTAAATTTTTATTTGTAACAATATCACATATGGTTTTAGTTATTGACAACTATTATTATGTGGGCGAGTTTCTTAAGACAGCACCCAGAAAATTTATAACTTATAATGTGGAGTTTATTCTTATATATATAACTGGCTCAAATTGGAACCACAATTGTTTAAGACTACTTGAAGGTTATTTTTCTTCATGAATATATTTGGCTACTTAAGGATGAATAGGAACTCCTATTTGAAATTATCATTTTTTTATTTACAGAACTTTGTGCCTATAATTTGAACTATTGATATTATAAAACACTATGTAAAGATCATATCTACAAAAAATGAATTAGAACTAAGGTCATTAAGTTAATCAATTGTGACAAATAGATAGATGATTCGTAACACTTTTACCATTTCAATTTATTTGTTCTTATATAATTCGATGACTAAACAACCTTCGTTTTAATGGATTTTTTTCCAGATATGATTTGTATAAAGTGATTTATAATATAAACAGTATGAATCATAAACACGAACGTTTATGAACCAAAAACCAACAATTTTGAGTAAGAACTCCTTATCATTTTTTGAGTAGCCGAATATTATTCTTTATTTATAGAATGTCATGGTTCTGTTATAATAAAGATTGTCTTTGCATATGTACATATCTCTTAATGAATAAGGAATCTTCACCGTATAAATATTGTAATTGAAAACTGTTTAATTTTTTAATTTTCATTTGAAGATAATTCCTACAAACAATCATTCGAATAAGAGATCATTTATGTAATAAGTCGATGATATCAAATAATATTGAAGAATACAAATATAATATAGTAATATTAGAATTAAAAGTTGAAACGATCATTTGATGTGATCTACTTTTATTACATAGAAAGAAAAAAAAAAAAAAAAGAGTGAACAACACACTGTGTTTTCATGCCTCACGATTAAAACCCTACTGTGGTTCGAGGCTGAATTATAAAGCCAATAATACCGAAGTAAATTAAGGGTAAAAGGAATTATTAGACCAAATAGCATTAATCTGGCTGTGGTCCGCCGGAAATGGCAGCATATGCATCTCATCTCCACCACCAAGCCCTGCCATATGCTGCTGCTGATGATCTTGTGGGACGTTCATCATGTCCATGAACCACGGCTGCTGCTGCCTCTGCATTGCGGTGTCCACATTATTGTTCAGCGCAAAACCCTGCTGCCTCTCCCCTCCACACCCCGCCGCAGTTGCAGCAGCTGCAGGCAGCGCCGTTGGTTGTAGTTGCACTTGGCTTTTAGATTCCTGATCATTTAGAATCTTCATCCGGTTGTGGATCTCCTTCAAATTTTGTTCAACCAGCCACCCCAAATCATTCAAATCAACCATGCTCAAACCCTGGAGGGACTTCCCAGTCAGACTCTGGAACATCACTCTCGTCATCTCCTTCTCGCGGTTCTCCTTTCTTTGTTTCTTCAATTGCTCGTTGGCCTTGGCGATCCGCTGCCGCAGAAAACTCTCCTGGTTCACCATCTTCTTGCTTTGCTCCATCTCCGGCATGGTCTTGAACTGGGCAAGAACCCGCTGGACTCCCAACGGCGATGGCCAGACCTCCGGTTGAGAGTCATACGGGCTGTAAATAATCGCGCACGCCTGAACATCACAAAGGGTGCTGAGTTCACTCACCTTCTTCATCAAACCCTTCTTTCTCTTCTTGTACGTTGCCTTTCGCGCCGAGTCGTTGCTGATGTAGGTCAGTTTTACTTTCTTTCTAGTCATGGCTCGTCAGAGATGAGAAGAGAGAACAATCTAGAGAAGAAGGAAGCTTTTGAGGGTTTGCTATGATATACCAGAAACAGCCGATGCTCTATATATATATAGCAAGAAAAGGGCTACCTTACTCACCTGGGAGATATGGTTTTGAATGATAATTAATTCAGGAGATTTTGTGTCGTATGGTACATTGGATGGACAATCATCAAGCTACTATATTAGAGAAGATTTTTTTTGTTTTTTATCATGCAATATTCGCTGAATTCATTCATACACTGAATTTCTTACATTCCATATTTGTTAAGGAAATGGAATTTTCACATAAATGGAAATTTATTGGTGAGTTACATTTGTAGGATAATATCAAATCTCTGGCAGATTCTATTAGCAAAAGAAATTTTGTAATTTGCAATTTTTGTTGATATTCATGGGACTTGTTTATCCAACCTTGTTCTTTATCTGGATTAATCTTGTCTGTTAACTTTCATACATGCATGCATGCACACCAGAGATGGTCATTTCTCTTTTGGTAGTCACTTATAAGGTAGTCAAAGCTCATTCGTGTTACGAGTTTTTCTATTTTTTAATTTTTTTGGTTTCTTTTTGTGCAAATTCGTGTTTAAGAGGATAAGATACTTGTCCTAATTATTCATATACTATTTCTTCACAAATTTCATACTATACACACATTCAATAATAATTTTCAGGCGAAGTAATACTATGTCTTCACAAACCTTCAGGCGGCATTATTGACGGTTGTGGCTGTGGTGATAGTGGTTGCAGCTGTTGTTATGGTGGTGATAGTGGTTGTAACTGTTGTTATGGTGGTGATGGTGGTGGCAATGGCAGTAGTGGCGATTTTGATGGCAGTGGTGGCGGTTATGGCGGTGGTGGTGGCAACAACAATGATGGTGTAAAGTTAGTGTTTGTAGTGTTAAGTGGTGACGGTGACTTTGTTGTCCAAGAGAAAAAATGAGTGTAGAAGGTTAAAAAAATGTCATTTTTAAAAACTAATGAGGGTTTTACTGGAATTGAGATACTCATTAAAAGCTTAACTCCAATTTTTATTAAAAACCAACTTTTAAAAGCAACCTACATGTTGCTTTTAAAAGTTGTTTGATGGCCTTTGCTTTTAAAATAAACGTGATATTTTATTTTTTTCCATACCACTTTATTATTGCTTAATTTTAAAGTGAAGCAGTTTTTCTGTAAAAAAGAAAAAACCAAAGGGGACTTAAAAGAAAGAAAAAAAAAGTCCGAATTTTAAATTTATATGTGCCAATTCCCTTGGATTCATTATCACTTATGTTAGAAGTGTTGGGGGGGGGGGGGGGGGGGGGGGGACCTTTGAATTTGAAGGTAACAATTCTCGACCTTAAATTCGATATAAATAGTTGTCATTTCTAAGGCATCGTTTTGTATTGTATTTTTCACTAAAATCTACTTCACTTAAAATTTAAGAGAAATTAGAATCCCCACCTCCTATCTTGCAATTTTTTAACTAAACATCTACAGGATTTTGACTTTTTATTAAACTTTTGAACTATATGATTAAGAGCATCTTTAAAGGAAATGTCAAAATGTCCACAATAGCAATACCGGTAAAAAAAAGGGGTGTGATATCCACACACCCCATTCTACTTCTAACATACCTTTTAATTTTCGGTCATCGGATCGGATGAATTGAAGAAAATCAACAAACATAAATTATCAAGGGATGTGTGAGAAGTAAAATGGGGTGTGTGGATAGCACCCTAAAAAAAGACAAGCACTAGTGTTTTCCAACCGAAATGCCAATTTCTATGTGGCATGACATGGAATAGCAGCTGAGGAGTTGCTATCAAATTTAATAGAAGCTTCAAATCTATTTCTAGTGGATAATAATTTTTTATTTTTATATAATTTTTGTTTTATCATTTGTTTTAAAAATACTAATTACAATTATGAAAAGTAAATAATGTAATTAATAATAGTTTAAATTTGACATATCAGTTGGAGAACAAAATTTACAAAAAGATTAAAGATCAATGTGTCACATAAGCCTTCAAATTTCCCACGTACGAATGACTTTTCTTCAACTTTCCCACGTACGGACTAAAGAGTTCATGGTAACTCAGCTTGCACACAGCATTCATAGCATATGTATACACTAATGTAGCAGAAACAACTAAAACTAATTTGTGAGACAAAAACACCAAACAAACATTGACCTAGGCTTTCATCTCAATCCTATTTCTCAGAAACAATGAATTTGCCAGCTGCGGTAATACAGATTAAGTCCACAAACAATGAATTTGTGCACGCTGGCAGACTCCTGTATACGCGCACAGAGAGAGAGAGAGAGAGAGACTTACTGTTCCAGCGACGGACTTGGATGATATGAAAGTGTTCGCCTTAAATCTGGACAACCCAAAATCGCATACCTAGGAATAAATGAAACAAATCAAGTCCACAAACACCCAACCGGAGAACTCAAAGCACCACGCAAATCTCTTTCTTTATCTAAATATACCTTTGCTGTCCAATTTTTATCAACCAACAAATTTGGAGACTTAAGATCCCAATGGACAATAGGAGGGTTAAGACAATGGAGGTAATTGATCCCCTTGGCCTGCAGGGAAGATAACTTGCAGAGTTAAACTAACAGAAAACATAGTTAGCATGTGATTCATTATCACTTATGTTAGAAGAAGAGGGTAAAAAAAAAAAAAACCTTTGAATTTGAAGGTAACAATTCTCGACTTTAAATTCGATATAAATAGTTGTCATATCTAAGGCATCGTTTTGTATTGTATTTTTCACTAAAATCTACTTCACTTAAAATTTAAGAGAAATTAGAATCCCCACCTCCTATCTTGCAATTTTTTAACTAAACATCTACAGGATTTTGACTTTTTATTAAACTTTTGAACTATATGATTAAGAGCATCTTTAAAGGAAATGTCAAAATGTCCACAATAGCAATACCGGTAAAAAAAAGGGGTGTGATATCCACACACCCCATTCTACTTCTAACATACCTTTTAATTTTCGGTCATCGGATCGGATGAATTGAAGAAAATCAACAAACATAAATTATCAAGGGATGTGTGAGAAGTAAAATGGGGTGTGTGGATAGCACCCTAAAAAAAGACAAGCACTAGTGTTTTCCAACCGAAATGCCAATTTCTATGTGGCATGACATGGAATAGCAGCTGAGGAGTTGCTATCAAATTTAATAGAAGCTTCAAATCTATTTCTAGTGGATAATAATTTTTTATTTTTATATAATTTTTGTTTTATCATTTGTTTTAAAAATACTAATTACAATTATGAAAAGTAAATAATGTAATTAATAATAGTTTAAATTTGACATATCAGTTGGAGAACAAAATTTACAAAAAGATTAAAGATCAATGTGTCACATAAGCCTTCAAATTTAAATTTTGTGTTTAAAATTTAACATCTATTTTGAAGATGGTCTAAGATGTTTTAGCTTGACTCCATTCCAACATAATTAGAGCATCTCCAGTGGAGTCCCTAAATATGGACAACCACTGTATAAAATGGGTATAAAACAAATATAAGGACAAAATAAATCTTCAATGGATCGGAAAGTTGAGAATACTAATACCTAAGTAATCTAGTGGAGCCAGTAACTCTGACAACAACACAACTGCTTTGACGAGCATAGTAGAGTCCAACAAGGATAGAAATTTATTGGGGGCAAGTCACGTAGAAAAAGCACAAGCACCGATTCCAAAACAGAACAACGATCATACTTCCAAGCCAATGAGCAAAGCGGGTTTGGTTCTATGCAGACCAACACCTCATTGCAAGTTCGACTCATAGATTACTCATCTAATTACTCATCTAAAGTCTACAATAAGGTTTTCATGCAACTCAATCAATGTTCACTAACACTTCGACTGGAGCTAGTGTTCGCAAAGCTCTGGGGACAATGTAGTCGTGCCTTAAACCCATTATGTGCACCTGGATGACTGATAACGAAAGTCGACTTTTCAGATGAACTTCATTCAACACAAGGACAAATGGAGACCAAGGCTAAGACCCTGAAGATCGTTGTGTCCAAATTTCAAAATTTTCTACATAGCCAATCCTTTAGTTTTTCGAACAAAGACAACTGAAGCTATGTGCCTATCATAACTGCATGGCTGTGGGAAAACGAAGATCTCAAAGCCTTCTTGATTTTTTCAAGTGGAGTTTCATATACATCTAGACAGCTGAGAAGTAGAGCTACAATGTTACTATTTTTCGAATTTTCCAGAAAACAGAACGGTTTCAAATTTGGTACATAAAGCAGCTTAATAGCAAGTCAGCCTAACCAGCACATCGCAACAGCACTGACAAATCCAAGCTACGTGGAGTTTGTGTCATGCTCCATCACGAAGATACGAATGTCAGATTTCTATAGAATTTTGCGCAATTCAATTCCGAGCAACGTGGACAAAGTTATCGTCGTTTTACCACTCGTAGTGCAGGCTATAATTTTCTGCTGAATTCCTCAAGTCTTTCCTCTTAACTCCAATCAAACAATACAAAATGGCACCAATTTCACTCTTACATGCCCACCTTACCACCACTACCACCATCACCCCCGCTCTCACCTACCATTGTTGTGGCCACCACCTCACCACGAGCACCGCCTCCACCACCCATCATCGATACTCCGCGCCACCAACTCCCAAATGTCATATATTGATTGAAACATTAAATTTGGTTTTAAACTTCATTTTACTTTTAGGTTAGTAAAACAAAAGAATTTCACATTGTTCAAAAAAGACAAAAACAAAAGAATTTCACAAACTCTAATGAAATGAAAATTTGGGTTGAGAGGTATGATAAGAAAAATGATTTTTACCCTCTTATTTTCAAAATTGAGTTTCAAGATTGTAGTTAAAAATAAGCTCAAAAATTAACACGGGTGTGTTGAAATAATTTCCTAAAAAAATACATGTAAATCAAAGTCATTTACACTCATAATTTATAATCCTTCATTTGCACCGCCGTGTTAGTAAATAGTAGCTACAAAATCCCCTGATAATCATAAACCAAATGCCACAAATTTGAAACTACAAAACAAAAATATAAAAACCGGAATCCGAACTCAACCCGAGCCCAGCTTCGCCTAAGCCGAACCGAGCCGGTCCAGAGCGTCCATGGCGGCTTTCAATCTGGGCTGGACCTTCAGCGCCGCCTCGTAAGCCTTCCTGGCCTCCTCCGCCATCTTCTTCCCCTCATAGCACTCTCCCAACGTACAAAACGCCTTCACATTTTCCGGACTCAGCTCCACAGCCCGAGTCAAATCCTCGATCACCGAGTCAACCTGGGCTTTCCGGTTCATCGACAGCTTGATCTCCGCCCTCTTGACAAGCGCATCCCCGCGATCCTCTTCGGTCAGGCTCTTCCGGCAGAGAGGGGACAGAGCGACGTCGATGGCGTCGAGGGCTGAGGTCTTGTATCCCTGGGCGTCGAGGGCGAGGGCTTTGAGGATGTGGGCGGCGGCGTCCTTGGGGTCGAGGGCGATAGCCTTCTCGGCCTCGTCGAGGGCCTGCTGGGAGAGGGAGGCGGAGGAGGAGCGGGAGTTGGCGGATCGGGACTGACCGAGGAGCTGGGCGCCAAGGACGAAGTGACGCTTGGCTTGGGCTGCGGGTTTGTTGCGGAAGCGGTAGCGGAGGTTGGCGATGAGTTTTTGGGGGATGTTGTGGATGGAGAGGAAGGCGACGACGACGACGAGGATTAGGCCGGCCTGGAGGAGAATGTCCTTGGCGATTCGGGACCGGTCGATCGGTGCGGATTCATCTGTTTGGGAATTGATGTATCGGAGTTGGGATTGAAGGAAATCCATGAGTGGATGTTTGGGAATCGGGTTGAGGGAGGATTGGGAGAGAGATGGGAAAATTGGGAAGGGGAAGACTAAGGAGGGAGGGTCGACTATTTTGACTGACTGGACTCTGTGACCGCCTTTTGTGATATTTAATGAAGCCTCCTCTTCTCCTCTTCTCCTCTTCTCATGGGGCTTGCCTCAACTTTCCCACGTACGGATGACAATTCATCAAATGAATTTGATTAGCATGTGACCAAAGACTTATACGTAGCTCCATGCAGTGACAGATTCAAGATTTGAAGAGGGTCTCAGTGTTAAGTACAAGTTTACATAAGAATAGAGCGCAAAGCACATAGGAAAAAAAAATCAATTTATTCACTTGGTAAGCTTATTGAACACGTATCAACATATATTAGTATATGCTAAAAACGGTATAGAGAATTTGTTGAATGTTATCGATGCAGTACGTTAAAATATGCCTAGCATGCAAAATCCTTCACATGTATATTTTCAGACTCAGACGGTCCTTATTTCCATCCGTCCCTAGCTTTGGGAACCGTCATTTTCTTTTATTTAATCACTAGTTATATATTTTAAAAGTTTATTTTTAATTGTGAAAAAAAAAAAAAAAACAAACAAACTTTCGATTTTAAAGTCTAGAGTCCATGTTAAAAGAGAAATCAAACGTTCATCGATCTGAAAAGACCAAAAATATTTGAATAGTACGGTTTGATCCTCTTCGATATTTGGGTACATTGCTAAACCATGCGTATTACGCGACGGTCATTGGGTTAGGCAAGAAACGCGTCTACAAACTTGCCAAGAACCAAAGAAGCTTAGTCAGTTGCAGAAATTCGACTACCAAAGTATAACCGTCAACTCTTCAACTCAGATCCGGGCAGAAGGCGATGTTCCAGCCACCGGAACCAATTGCAGAGGAGACTTTAGCAACCTCTTTAGTGACTCTACTATGCTACCAAAACAAGGGCGCTGGGCTGGATCACTGCAAACAAAACAAACAAACGTCACCAACTAAACATATAGACATATAAACAAACAGGACTCCACAGGTGCTACTAATTGGTCGTCCCAAAGATCGGTTCTGCATGTTTACACAAGTACACAAGGAGATCTAAGTTGCCCGTAAGTCGCAGTTTATCTTCCACGCTACATGTGGAAGATAGATTAGTCTCTTGGCACTCGGTATACACGTTATAGTAGAGTTGTATTGATCTACTTCGATCACAACTGGGAAGATCTCGGGTAGACTTACTCAGCCCAGCAGGATTCCACAAGCGAAGCCAACATTGGGGGAGTATTAACAGGGATAGCAAGCCTTCTGTTCTGGAAAGCAACTGCTCCGACTACCTGAGAGATTGAACGACATCATTTACCATAGTTAATAAAAGGGAAAACAAAGAAAATAGAGAATTAAGTCATAGCGTGTAGCGTGCAGGACAAGACTGAAAGAAAGTAGATGCTGATCACGACATGTACCTGGGCGGGGCTAAGACCTTTCCAGGGTTGTTCCATGGTTACAAGTTCCCATAGGATCACTCCGAAACTGTAAACATCGGACTTCTCATTTGAGGGCTCTCCTCGAAGGAATTCTGGAGCCATCCACTCAGGCTGAAAATTAAATTTAGTGAGTTACATGATGATTGATGCACTGCAAAGTAATACTTCAACCTGCGAAAGTATTGATGGAAATGCCCGACTTTACATAGCGGACTAAAGAGTTCATGGTAACTCCGCTTGCACACAGCATTCATAGCATATGTATACACTAATGTAGCAGAAACAACTAAAACTAATTTGTGAGACAAAAACACCAAACAAACATTGACCTAGGCTTTCATCTCAATCCTATTTCTCAGAAACAATGAATTCGACAGCCGTGGTAATACAGATTAAGTCCACAAACAATGAATTTGTGCACGCTGGCAGACTCCTGTATATGCGCGCACAGAGAGAGAGAGAGAGAGAGAGAGAGAGACTTACTGTTCCAGCGACGGACTTGGATGATATGAAAGTGTTCGCCTTAAATCTGGACAACCCAAAATCGCATACCTAGGAATAAATGAAACAAATCAAGTCCACAAACACCCAACCGGAGAACTCAAAGCACCATGCAAATCTCTTTCTGTATCTAAATATACCTTTGCTGTCCAATTTTTATCAACCAACAAATTTGGAGACTTAAGATCCCAATGGACAATAGGAGGGTTAAGACAATGGAGGTAATTGATCCCCTTGGCCTGCAGGGAAGATAACTTGCAGAGTTAAACTAACAGAAAACATAGTTAGCATGTGAGAAGGGAAATGATGATGCTAAATTGCACAAACCACATCCAATGCCAATCGCAACCGCCTCCTCTGATCCAGAAGTTCCCCGGAAGCTGGCCTGTGAATGAGGCGATAAAGACTACCCCTGTGTCGCCAATACCATGATAGCAACGGGTTTAGACATAATAATGACTCCGGTATTTATACACATGAGAATTAACTGTCAATAGAAAAAGTTGGTATTTATACACATAAGAATTAACTGTCAATAAAAAAAGTTGGAAAGAAATTACCTTGGCAGATATTCAGTCACTATAGACAGATGAGGACGCTTTGTAACCGCACCCATGAAAAGAACTACGTTTGGATGACGAACACGTTTCATAATTGCAACCTGAATACAATGTGAAAATCAACTTCAGCTAAAAGGCTTCAATCTAATGATATACAAGTTTCTGATGCACATACAAAGGAAACCTACCTCACGTAAAAACTCTTTCAATTGATCATCATGGAAATCCTGAACAGTTAGAACCTTGACGGCAACATCCTGGATTACACCAAAATTAAATTTTAGTAGAAAACGAAAACAAAGGAAGAAAGAATTAGGTGCAACAGCAAACTACGTTGATATATATTACAAGACAGATGTTCAACGTCTAACCGAAGACATGAGAAGAAGGAACAGATTAAGCAAAAAGTTAAATTACGCTTGATCATCTAATTAAATTGGCCAATGGAGTAAGTTCTTTTTCGGAAACACAAGTAGTTACTAGACCTATCCCGAAGATGGGAATGAGTAAAAGAACTGGCACAGAGGCCAAACTCTGCAGCTATATTATATTAAGCAATATGCACCACTCATCAAGTTTGTTCTCGTGATCAGACCAAACAGATACAGCATATCAAAAGTATTCACGTCATAACTGAACCACTCTTCCTCCTGTAAACAAATAATCGCGGCCCAATCACAATAAATATATAAGAAAACGTGATATTGTAGAATGCTTTTCATAATAATGCCGAAGGCTAGGGTTACAATATATATACGAAAGACACAACCCTAATCCTAAACTAATGCCTAGAAACAAGGAAGTCAAACCTTATCAGGTAAGTAAAGGCTAAGTACAGATTTACAAGATTCACTATACTAATCCAAGATATCTTCTTTAACACTCCCCCTCAAGTTGGAGTGTATGTTAATAACACCCAACTTGCTGAGCAATGTTTCAAACTGTGTAGAATTCAACGGTTTGGTGAAGATGTCTGCTGGTTGATCACTTGTTCGTATGTATGCCGTACGAATCATTCCTTCTTGAATCTTCTCTCTTACCAAATGACAATCAATCTCTATGTGCTTTGTCCTTTCATGAAATACCGGGTTTGAAGCAATGTATATGGCTGCTTGGTTATCACAGAATAACATGACTGGTTGTGAATGACTCACCTTTAAATCTCTCAAAATGTTCTTTAACCACGTGATCTCACAACATGTGGCTGCCATGGAACGGTACTCGGCTTCAGCACTGGAACGAGAGACAGTAGTTTGCTTCTTTGTTTTCTAGGATATCGGTGCTTGACCCAGTTGAATGTAATAACCTGTTATTGATCTTCTTGTGTCCTTGCACCTGGCCCAATCAGCGTCACAGAATGCACTTAACTGCAAGGATCCCTTGGATGGCAGCAATATACCTTGTCCCGGTGAACTCTTGATGTATCTGAGAACTTTGTGTGCTGCCTCAAGGTGTGGTTGTCTAGGCTTGTCCATAAACTGGCTTAACATGTGCACAACATAAGCTAAGTCCGGCCTGGTTATGGTTAGGTAGATCAACCTACCCACAAGTCTTCTATATGATGAAGCATCAATAAGAAGTTCTCCTTCCATCTGTGTAAGAGAAACATTTGATTCTACAGGAAACCGTGAAGGTTTAGCACCCAAAAATCCTGCATCATCTAAGATATCCAATGCATATTTGCGTTGACATAAGGTGATGCCATTTGTAGACCGTGCAACCTCTAACCCCAAGAAATACTTGAGTTGTCCCAAATCCTTTAATTTGAATTGTTGTGAAAGGGACTGCTTCGTGGCTTCAATTTCTTGTAGATTATTTCCTGCTAAAATTACATCATCAACATATACCAATAAAGCAATGAAGTTACCGTGCTGACTTCGGACGAACAATGAATAGTCAGAACACGATTGATGAAATCCAGCAGCCTTGAGAGCAGTGGAAAGTTTAATGAACCATTGTCTTGAGGCTTGTTTTAAACCATATAAGGATTTGTGTAGCTTGCAAACACGAGTCTCCCCCTTTCGTCCAAAGCCAGGAGGTAAATTCATGTACACTTCCTCATCCAGATTGCCATGCAAGAAGGCGTTGTTGACATCTAGTTGATGTAAATGCCAATGACGTACAACAGCAACACTAAGGAGTACACGGACAGTGGTTAACTTGGCAACTGGAGCAAAGGTTTCACGATAGTCGACCCCTTCGATTTGACTATAGCCCTTGGCAACCAACCGAGCTTTGTAACGCTCGATGGTCCCATCAGGTTTAAGCTTAACCTTGTACACCCATTTGCAGCCAATCGGCTTTTTGTGAGGAGGAAGTGGAACAAGGGACCAAGTATGGTTTGCCTGAAGGGCAGCAAGTTCGTGGTGCATGGCATCACGCCATTGTGGATGTTGGACAGCCTGCAGGAAGGTGGTGGGTTCTCGAATGGTGGTGACGTTAGTAACAAAATGCTTATGCATAGGGGAGAGGCGATTGTAAGATAAGTAATGAGACAGAGGGTGAGCAGTACCTGATACCTGAACCATATTCGAGGAAGGAGCAAGTCGGGACGGGAGAGAGGTCTCAACATGGAAATCCTGCAAGAAAGAAGATGGTTTGGTAGGACGTGTGCCACGCCGGGGTGGCGGTGGTGCAGCAGGAGAGGAAGACGGAGGGGATGTGGGTGGAGAAAGTAAGGAAGGGGAAGTAGGCTCAACAGGGAGAGCGATGTCAGGGGGGGAAGCGATGGGAGGTTCTATGGGAAATATAGGGACTGGATCAAAGGATGGCGAGTAGGGTGCTACGGGAAGGGAAGGAGGAGTGGGAGGGGAAGCAGCAGAAAGGTGGGGTAAGTTGTAGGGAAAATGGTCTTCGAAAAAGAGGACATCCCGTGACACAAAAAACTTGTTAAGTGTAAGGTCAAACAAGCGGTAACCCTTCTGGCCATAAGGATACCCAACAAAAATGCACCGTCGTGCACGGGGATCAAATTTAGAGGGTTTTTGTGCATGGGTGGATGCAAAACATAAGCATCCAAAGACACGTAAATGCATGTAATGAGGTGCCTTGTGAAACAACTTGTGGTATGGTGTTTGCCCTTGGAGAAGTGGTGTGGGTGTACGATTGATAAGATAGGCCGAAGTAAGAATAGCATCCCCCCAAAAATGTTTAGGAAGGTTGGCTTGAAAAAGGAAGGCTCGAGCAACATTTAACAGGTGACGGTGTTTGCGTTCAGCAACACCATTTTGTTGTGGTGTGTTGACACAACTGGTTTGATGCAGGATCCCTTTGAGTTGATAAAAGGTGACAAGTTTGAACTCGGGACCGTTATCACTTCGAATCACCTTAACTGTTGTATTGAATTGATTCTCAACCATGTGTATAAATTGAACAAGAATATCTTGTGTGTCAGATTTTTGTTTCATCAAATAAACCCAGGTGCACCGTGTGTAATCATCAACAATGGTAAGAAAATATTTGGCACCTGAGAGGGAAGGAACTTGATAACCCCCCCAAATGTCAATATGTATTAATTCAAAACATGAACGAGTAGATATAGAACTCAAGGGAAAAGATAATCTGGTTTGTTTAGCCAATGGGCAAATTAAACATGTATTGGAATCACATGACTTATTGTGCATAAAGGGAAGTAACGAGGACACTTTAGGTGATGGATGCCCAAGGCGTTGGTGCCAAAAAGGAGAACTCATAGTGGTGGTGGTGTTGCAGGATCCCTTCCTTGGTGGGTCGAGATGGTAAAGTCCCTCCCGTTCAATTCCCGTCCCAATCATCTTCCCCGAACGTAGGTCCTGTATGACACAAGATTGTTTGAGAAAAATGGTGATGTAAAGGGAATCGTAAGCTAACTTGCTAATAGATATGAGATTTATCATAAACAATGGTACGCATAAAACATTGTCAAGGATAAAGTTGGGAGAGAAAACCACTTGGCCGACATGAGTTACATTAGCAAGGGAACCATTTGGTAATTCAACATTATGATTTTCAACACGTTTTGAGGACGTGAGAAACTCAGGACTGCATACGATGTGGTCGGTGGCGCCACTGTCCAAAATCCAAATAACTTGCCTTCCATTACGCATGAAAGAAAAAGCTTTACCTGAGAGTTCTTCATGATTCGAAGAGTTACCCACTTGATTAGCAAAGGAGGATTTGCTTTTGTTCAAAAGCTGAAGAATCTGCTTGCAGTCCTCTGGAGAAAAAGGAAAATTGGGCATTGCATCCTTCTTGTCACGACCCGTGACTTGGTTGCCCTTGAAAGGGCGATTTTGTTCAGTCTCAGCCGCTGCTTTTCTTTTGCGGCAAGAGTCAAAAGTGTGTCTTTTCCAACCGCAAAACGTGCACTTGAGATGAGCACGACAATTCTTGGTGCTATGATTGGTCTTGTTGCATTTGGCGCATCGCTGACTACCATCTTCTGCCTCGGGTTCTCGACCAGCGCCCCTCACTGCAAACACAGCAGCTTCAGGCTGCACGGTGCTGCCCTTTCCGTTTGATACTTCAACTTGTTTCTCATGACGAAGAACAAGTGCATATGCTTTGTTAACAGTTGGCAATGGATCCAGCAAGAGGGTGTTGCTACGAACTGTAGCATATGAGTCACGTAAGCCCATAAGGAATTTCATTGTTTTCTGAGTCTCAACATATGATGTTATCTCGTTCCTTGCTTCACAATGGCATGTCGGGATTGAACATAAGGTATCACGTTCATCCCAAAGACTCTTGAGTTTTGTGAAGTAAGAACTCACCGTCATGTTGCTTTGCACACAATTATGGATTTCGTTTTCTATGTGAAACAGTTGAACGATGTTCACATGAGAAAACCTTTCTTGCAGGTCAAGCCACATCTGCCGCGCATCCTTGCAGTGTATGACACTTCCTGAGATTTCTTTTGACATGGAGCCGAGCAACCATGTTTTCACCAGATTATTGCACCAGTTCCATTGCTGTAACTCTTCAACCTGTGCATCAGTTGGCTTCGTGATTGTTCCATCAACCAGCCCTAACTTGTTTTTAACCATCAAGGCCATGGTCATGGATTGTGCCCATGTGCCATAGTTGTCTTCCACGAGTGGCTGCGGTACAAGAATGGCGCCAGGCTGATCCGAGTGATGAAGATAAAGTGGATGATTAGGGTGTTCCCACTTCTGATGCAAAGTCATGCCTGAGGAGGTTGACTGTTCTGGTTTTTCACCCATGGCTATGGTTGCTAGGGTTTAATATCTGTCGAGGTTTTGCTAGATCGTTGGCTCTTGATACCATATAAGAAAACGTGATATTGTAGAATGCTTTTCATAATAATGCCGAAGGCTAGGGTTACAATATATATACGAAAGACACAACCCTAATCCTAAACTAATGCCTAGAAACAAGGAAGTCAAACCTTATCAGGTAAGTAAAGGCTAAGTACAGATTTACAAGATTCACTATACTAATCCAAGATATCTTCTTTAACATAAAATACTTACCGATCTATTCCATTCTGCACGATGCACTGTCCCAAATGAGCCTGGAAAGGAGCAGAATATGAATTCATGTAGAAGCGAAGAGTAGTGATTGAGCAAATAAAAAGAAATAAACATGCATCTAGTTCAATAAAGGGGAGGATAGATACCAGCACCAACACGCTCTTTGATATTCAACTCGTCCCATGCGATCTCAAGCCAGTCCATTGCAAGAGACGGTTCAAGATTCAAGTACCTTGGGATAGTCACAGCAGAAATTCTACCTTGTTTCACAAGTTCACTATGAACCCCCTCTAGATCTGATTGGTTGTACAAAGTTACTTTACATTGGTCAACACTGTTACTTATAAACTGACTTCTTGATGCAACAATCTCCTTTCTGTAAGCTTGTTGTATAACAGCATTTTCTTCGCGAAGTCTAGCACATTCCTCTAATGATGCCACAGCAGCGGTTGCAGTAATATCAAGAGCTTCTGAAGAATCGCCCTCAAGGCAATGTGGAGCGTTTCCCTTCAAACCCAAAGGCATCAGAGAAGATTCCCACCCAAATCTAGTTTGATCAACCGGAAGCAAATTGGTTTCCTTGATGACATGACCTCCCTCCTCACCGACTGTAAGAGATTGATCTTTAAGGATTGAAGAACCTATCAAGAAAGGATAAAAATGGTACCACATGCGTTATGTAAATCATCAAATGTACAATCAGGCAGCATAACAAACGTTTTCTTCTCCGTATCAATGCACAAAACAAAAGAAAAACAAAAATCTAACAGTTGTCAGTTTTAAAATTAGACAAAATAATCATTGTAACTACAATGATGCCTCCATCCTGTAGTTCATTCAGACTGCCTTCAATTTCAAGTACTCCGAAATAATGGAACATGCATCTTCAAGGTTTACCTGCATAAAAGGGATCTTCAGGAGGAGCCCATGAGTGCTTTGAGTTTGTGAATTGGCAAAATAATCCACTATCCTTGTAAGGTTGTTGGGATTCTTTTAGGTGAGAATTTTGAAATGGTGAAGGTATAGAAGAAAGAGTTCCTCCATTTATCGAAGAGTCTGGACCGTGAAGGTTTCCTGGTTCCCCAACTAGATCAACCACATATTCCCTATTAAGAAACATATATAACCATCAAATGGAGAAGAAAAATATACATAAAATTCTGAATTAAACGAACAGTTGAAACGAAAACGTTCTTTTTTGACCATGCATGACATGGTACTCAGAATCAAATGCATATTTCCACCATAAGAACAACGGGGTATGACAGGGGAGAAAGGGAACTTATCTGACAACAGTCAAGTTAGTTATGAGCCAAGGCTAAAGTCTTCAACACCAAAAGTTAAGAAAACAGTGAGACTGAGAAACAACAGAGAATTGACCAATAATTCAGCAAAGATTTAATGCTGCAGAGTGTATAGATGAAAGAAAAAGATTGACGCGCTTGGATCAAATGAACAAGAACTCCAGAAATAACGTTATGGTTAAATATCATTCGGGAAACAAATGCTACCAAACACATAAAAAATGAACTAATAGTCAATATCTACATTTCAGATTGAATTTATATGCTGAACCATGTTATAAAAAATGTTAAAAAAAATTAAAAAAAAAAATCTGCCAGCAACAATTCTTCACGCTCACTTAAAAGTTTCTAACCTCAAAAGCTTCCTGTCATCTTCAATTTTGACAAGACAAGAGGACCGATGATCTGCTACACAATACTTACAACCACGAGCTATGCGACAAGGCAAACCTATGTGGTCTGCCAATTTCTGCACGTTGGAAATATAGAATTGAGTTATTAAGAATGAGTGACCAGTCCACAACACACAAGCACAAAGGAAAACACATATGTGAGTTTTCTTTCTGTATCCATTCATTCCGCTTGAAACGACATAAGCAACCCTGCAGGTTCCGAGATAACATTACCAAAAGATAGGAATATGCATGGTCTTTCACCACAAACCCGATAACAATTACATCGGCAAGAATTGTGTCAGTACACCACAAAAAGCTACATATACGTATACCTCACTGAATGATCACATGTCGAAAACTCATAGCTCTATATAACTGTGTGTCCCTTGATGCTTCTAATTCAGTTGCATTCTCATGTGAAACCCTGTTCACAGATTCATATATGTTGAAACATTTGTTGTACAATCAAAGATTACGAGTCCTAAATTTTACTACTAAGAGCGTGTCTTCAATATGACCAAAAAAAAAGTGTGCCTTCAGAAACCTTAATACATAAGATATAAACTAATCGGCACAATATATATAGATGCAACTAATCGGCACTAGCTTTCAGATAACACTCGTAATTCCTTTTACGACCATTAGAACGAATAAGGTGCGGACTATAAACAGAAATAGGCAAAACTATGATGTACAAGTTGTCACCTTGAAAAGAATGGCACGATGCCGGCAAAGCCCCATTGATAGGATGCCAATGGGGAGCACAATACACTTATGAAAATCCCTCAATCTCTTGCTAACCACTTTCCAACGCGTGTGTAGATCTCCTTGCTCCGCGGGATAATTACCCCTTCAAGTTTAAGCGACTCAGAAACATTATAATTAATGAAACAAACATGTTTCAAGTTAAAAGGGGGGAAAGTTGAGGCCCACCCCATATAGACTGCAACAAGCTTGCCAAGTTTCTCCACCAATATTAAAGTATTCTCTGAAGAGCACGATAGTTGATGTGCTTTATCTTGAAGCTCCTTCAGGCGAGAGTCACCATTTTTATCGACAAGAAGCACCTCCATTGATGTCTCACCAGGTTTAACTTCTTTAAGTGACATCAAGGACGGTATACGTTTACCCTCCTCCACATCATTGCATAGCACCCAAAGATATGGATTCATCCCCAAAATGTTGTAGAAACCATCTGATATCTTGTCATTGTAAGACAAGCAGCCACTGACCTGGAAAATTTGCACGGAATTCATTACTCATTAACGACGAGCTACAATGTTAGAAATGTATAAAATTCCTTACAGACGATTGAAATTTAGAAAATATTTTCAATCGAACTTCTGACCTTTAGCTTTAAGTTCAAATGCGTACCAATTCACCAAGATCTTAGTGGCATATATCAAAGACAAAAAGATAAAGAAAAATATGAAATGGATAGTACACCATATTATCTCATTGTGACACCTCCCCCTACACAACTAATGCTTTATTGTCTAACTGTGAATTTGGATCATTGATCATCTATATAGTTCTCGAACAGTGAGTTTAGCAACATAAGTAACTAAGTTTTTACGATTTGACAACGAAAGTCTGGCAAGTGATGCATTAATTTCTCTACATATACACAAGTATACATACGAATTTTATAAGCGCAACAAATTGGTACATATGCCTAATTAAATTTTGTGGTGATAGTGATACAAACATGTAGTCTCTATCACTGGAGCTTACAAAGGCTGATGTTGGAATGGACCACAAAAATCTTGGACCTATTAGTAACAGAACCATTTTATCCAAGAACTAAAATATACAAATAGGATATCAATACTGACATTTCAGACAAAATTAACACACATTATTCGTAAGGAAAAAAGGACAAATAGAGAGAGAGAGAGAGAGAGAGAGAGAGAGAGAGAGAGAGAGAGAGAGAAAGTAACCATGCCAAAAAGAAAAAAAGAAAACAAAGAGAGAGTAATTAAACTTACCCAGAGCCGGTACGACACCGTCTCAGCATCCGTAACCTCAAGTTCAGTACGAGTCTCGTGCAAGAACAATGTTTCAGCACCCAGAGTAGCCTGAGAACTAAGCCTCTTGGCCAAAAGAAGCTGCAAACAATAACTCTCCTTAGACCTCTGCGACAAGCTCACTTTAGCACTCTCCTCCCCCACATCCTCCTCTTCCTCCACTTCCAAATGCCTCGTTGTCACGGACGAGTCCTTAACATCCCCAGAGAAGTTCCCATCCAACGTCGTCGTTCCTGAAAACAAGCTCCCCGCATAGCTACTCCCGCTCGAAACCCTCGGCAGCGACACCTGCCGGTCAAAGCTCCGGTCAACACTCCGGTGCTTGAGCATAGCCATCGTGGTGGACTCCGGCGCCATCTGCGGTGGGCCAGCCTCGGCCACATGATGATCGTGATAGTGATCACCATGATAATGACGAGGCAGACGCGGGAGCAACAGCTCGCGATCCTCATCAACAAGGTGGCATGAGGATGATGAGGAGGATGACAACCTCCTTGGGCCCCTCACGTGACCAGGAGTATTCGATGGCTTGGGTCGAGTACTAGTCCCCTTCTTGTCATGACGGAACCAGTCGCAAAAGGTGGCCAACTGCGGTGGCTTCCTTTCGAGGACGTGGCCCGTGAAGTACTGAACTTCGGAAGACAGAGCAGAAGTGGTAGTGGCTGAGGATTTGTACAAGTTGCTGGTGGCGGTTTTGAGCACCTTTTGTTGGTGATCATCTCTATCTCTAGTCACGTTTGTGGTGGTGGTGGTGGAGGTGGTGGCAGTGTCGCTGTCTTTGCTTCCTTTCTCGTGATCGTGATGATCTTCTTGCAACAGCTGTTTGGATGACGAATCGAACCTTCGATCCGGGAATTGCCTTGGGAAGAAGTAAGTCGTTTTGTGAGGCATTCTTCACCAAGCTCCCGACACCCCAACCAAACCAAATAATTATTAAAACTAACACCCAAAAGTCCAACTGGTCACATGCGCAACGCTGACTTCCTCCTCAGTACACTGTGTCAGGCCGGCGTCGTTTCTCAATCTCTCAGAATACACCGAGAATAAGAAGAAGAGCGATCACAATATATATATATATAGACAAAAACAACAACCCTACTGACCGTACAATTTCTACAAATCGCTTTGGTTTTCTTCAAACCAAAGCGCATTCAGCTGATAAAGAATTAGCTTATACTTCTGAACTGATCTGAGTTTTTCCAAAGCTTATACTTCTGAGAAAGATCTGAATTTTGATGAGAAAGATTTGGAAGAGGAATAGCGATGGTGATTTTTTAGAGAGAGAGAGAGACAGAGAGGGTGTTGGAGAGTTGGGTGAGTACTTTAAGCAAATGAGACAGCTAAGTAGTGGGGGAAATTGAACAAATAATAACCATGACTTATTCACTTAGGAGCCAGGCGTCTACTAAAAAGCGCACAGGGGTTGCATGCGCACCCTGTCTAATATTTCTCCACGTCAAATTAAAAGCCAAGGCGATCGCGACACGCCGGCCTATACGCCAGCGCGCTCGCTGCCTACCGAGCGTAAGTTAGCGTGGGACCGAATTGCGGGTGTAATGTGTGTTGCGTGATTAAATAGGGAAATTAATGAAATAATTTGAAATTTTTGATTTTTAACGATAAGAATAAAATAAAGAGTAAAGTGAATAGTATTATGATTTATTTTTTAGTGTAAAAATATAATTTTTTTGATAAAATGAACAGTACTATGAGCTCTTTGTTAGAGTTCTTGATTAAATATGTTTGTAGCGTTCGGTATCCAAAAAAAAGTAGGGGATGTCACCTTGCAAACCTGCATGGTTAAGTAAATGGACGAAATAACCCTTGTTTTATTATATTTGGAGTTAATTTCATAATTTACCGGACCTAAATCTCTTAAATGATATTAATGATTTCAATTAAATTACTTAAACAAACAAGGTTTCATTCTAACAATTAAGTTGACTAGAACTTGAAACCAAAATGATCCATTAATTTACATCTTCTATCAATTTAACTATTTAATTCTTCATTAAATTAATGATATGGCAGATGTGAGACCATTTATGGGTTGTTGTATAGAAGTCACATTAATACCATTAGAGTCAAAATGTGATGGATTGTTGGTTTGGAATACGAAGCATTTGTAGAGGAGATATCAAAGCTCTATCCTGATGACTAGTTTATGTCTGATGTGGTGCAAGAAATCATCAACTGCAACTTATAATGTTTTTAATTTAATAACTACACAGTTAAATTTAATGATGAAAGACATAAATGAATAAGATCTCAAAACATAGAAGCAATTTGAAAAAGTTAAATCTTATCGCCCTTATATTTTTGTTTGGGGATTTTGGGATATGAAGGCATGTGAGGGGTAGTTGGGGGCTTGACAACTTGATACCGTTTGGGGTGGTTGTTTTTGGAAGTTAATGCGGTTAGGGTTGGTAATCTTTTGATCCTCTTCCTCACTTGGCATGCGTGATGCCCTTTCCCTTTATCATCAACTTTCTTTTGTATTTTTCCCTAAACTAACGTTTGCTTCGATTAGGGTTTTGAAATTATGGTTTCCTAGAGTGTACATTAGTTTGCTTTTCTTCTTACCTTACAGCTTAGGGCAGCCATATGACTGGTCGGAGTTATGGATAAGATTGGTCCTAAACCAACCACTTTGTATTTTATTATGTATAATGCATGAAGATCTGAGTCCTGTTAATTGAATGAGTTTCTTATTTATTTGTTGTATTAATTAATGAAGTTTACAGTGCTTCATTTGAGCTGGCAATGTGTTTGATATATGGGTTTCGAGACAACGCATGGTATGTGATGCTATACATTACTATATAAACATCATATAAGCGGGGTGATCAACAAAAAAAATAAGAGGATATAGCTAATTTACAATGTCTTTTTTCGTTAGTTTATTTTTATCTTTTAATAAAGTGGAAGAGGATATTCGAACTTAAGATTTTTTTTTATATTAGGAAGAGAAATCTCACTATATCAATACTTCATGCATATCTCATTCTTGATATAAACTTGTTCGTTTACTTAACAGTTTTATAATTAAAGACATACTTACTGGTTAACTGGTCCATATACAACATGTTAGAACTTTTATGTGAGAAGTGAATCAAATCATTTGAGAAAGATATGGAATAGCATACATAAAGGGAGATATGAATATAATGTGCCTTATATATAAAAATTACATGTATAATACAAATTGAAAAAACTATAAGTACTTGTACAATTAGTATAGGAGACAGCTACAAATGATTAAAAACTGATGGCATCTGCCACCATGATAGGTGGAGCAGCTACATTCCTATAATTAGGATTTTGATCCGCTCTCTCGGGTAAGTTACAAGGATCTCGTCCTGTCGAAAGCAAGAGTTCCAATTAGTTTCCAAGAAGGAAGGTCCTAATCCCATCTCAATCATCATGGCTTCATCTTCAAGTAAGCGCATACTTACTGCAAAAACGATATGGTTTAGTAGTAACTAGGGTTAGTATGCATGCATTTATTACAGTTTGTAGTTCATGTTGCAGTGATGATTTCGATCTCGTATTTAATCAAATGTATCATGTGGTATCAGAGCCCACAACTTCTGCAATGAACTCTATATATGATAACTGCATTGTTTGCGTATGATATTATTGTATTTGTTATACTTATACCAATTGCTTCCTCTGTTACAAATATCAGTTTAATGTATTTCATGTAAAAATGCAACGGTTTTGCGGTGCCTAACATTTCATAAACTGTATTGCACTTAATCCATAATTGTAACTTTTGGTTACTTGTAAAATTCATCTATGTGTTAATACATATACCACTGCACTTGCTATACTACACTACTATATATATATATATATATATATGCATGTATGTATGTATGTATGTATGTATTTACTGATGTTTATTGCAATTTTTGCATCTTACTTAATATGATTGTACAAAATTAGGCGAATATATCACCAAAGTGATTTTACATTCTTTAATGCTGGTATTGTCACACAAATATTAAGATTAAGGGTTTCTGCACATAAAACGATAAGATCAGGTTCCCTATAGAACCATAGTAATGTCCTGTGCAGTAAACATAAGTGTTGTCCGTTACGAAAAATGATAGTTCATGTGAAATTCTTGCCCAAGGGCACTCAATTTACATTGATTATTGTAGTTTGTAAATACTTATGCAAATTTGTGATTCATAGCTTTCGAGTATAGACAGTTTCTTGCCTAAAAGTGTTACCGATTCTATTAGTATGACTTTTTGTCATTTAATATGAGTTCACAAATCATTATGTCTATATTATGCATTTCAATATGTTGAGTTTAATCAATATTGAGAACTGAATGGAACTAACTTAAAAGCTTGGAAACCAAAGGATTGAAATGCACTTGGCAATGCAGGAGGTTGCTATTGCCTTTAAGTTGCCTCAGTCATCAGCATTGACAAATTAAAGTACACCATTATAAAGAGACAATTTCGCAAAATGGGAAATGGCTAATCAAATGTCCATTCTCATCATGCAAAATGCCATGGAAGATTATATAAGGGGAGGCATTCTATATGTGATCTTGCAAAGAATACATGACATAAATTGAAGAGAAGTACAAGAGGTTTTACAAAGCTAAAACTGGAGCCTACCTTTCTGATTTAATTAATCCAAACATGATGGAGTTGGAAGTGTAAGGGAGCATTTGTTTAATGTTGTTAATTGATGCGAGAATTACTTGACACTCAAATTAAACCCTCGTTTGACAATTGTAGTAGAATGGATAAGTGAGGGATCGTTCTAGACCGGGGATTAGGAGGGCTTGCTAAAACCTTCTAAATTGACTTAAAAACGTAAAAACAATATAAAACACTAAGCTAGACTCAAAGAATGTGAAACTAAACGTTAAAACACTAAGACAAACCAAAAGAATCAAAATGCTTTAAAAACACAAACTAAATTAATTTCTAACTATATTGAACATTAAAGCAAAAAGGGGGATTGAGGTTTGACGAAAATTGAAATATAAAACACTATTTAATGCTCGAAGAAAGCAAAACTAAAAATAAGAAAGATTAAGACTAAGACTTCAACGAAATAGGGGGGAATTGGATTTGGACGAATTTAAACTAAAATTGATACTTGGAAACAAAACAAATTGTAAATATGGATTTGACGGAAATAGATGGTTGGTGAATTAGCTAGAGGTTCTTTCTCCACACATGATATTTATGCATATGAATCAATTTCCAGTTATTCCTTCATTGAATTATGAACGACAATGCCCCAAATTAACCGTGACATCACTAGTTAACCCTCAGATTTTCCTTATATTATTGGATTGGATGGCATCATTCGACAACCCAAAACATTCTCAAAAGTTCCCTACATGTCATCATAATAGAGATACAATCGAAGATCATTAAGAATAATGAAAACCATAAGCATTGACAAAGCATTTGCAACTATGACATCATGTTACTCATGCTAAGAATTAAACTTAACGCGATCGTGACAAGCGACCTTCACTACTTTCAAGTATAAGTTAGTAACGATTATGTGAAACCTTCTTAAACTTTAGCCACATACTGATGCATGCTAATTAAGTGTCGACCCTCAATCAACAAACACAAATAAGTTAATCATCAAATAGTTAAGCCAATTGCATTCACGAATCAAGAGTTCATAACCGGAATTCATCAATTCATATTACATAAATAATCATGGTATTGAAATCACCCCTAGCCAAAAAGGGTTTAGTTCCTCATAACTTTGAAATCAAAGAAACACCTAAACATTCCAACAACTCAAACTTGAATTGTATGAACGTTTAGGCACTCTTCTCTTCCATTCCTCATATTACAAAACAAGAGAATTGAATTTAAACATTGAAATCAAAGAAACGCGTAAACATTCCAACAACTCAAACGTGAATTGTATGAACGTTTAGGCCCTCTTATCTTCCTCTTTATTGTGGCACAAGGACTAAGGGATGTTGTTGGTGTGTTGAATGGATTGGGGGATTATGGAAATGGAAGAAATGGAGGAGAAATGGAAGGGAAATGGAGAGAAACTCACGGCTAGGGAGAAGATGGAAGTGTTTGTGGTGTGTTGTGTATGAAATGAGATGATGCTTGAATGAATGAATGCAAGGGTATTTATAGGAGGAGTGGAGGTGTATATGACTATTTGTTTAATGTGTTTGTGTATTATGATGAATGCATGTGAGTTAAAGAGGGAGAATGTGGTGAAATGATGAAGTAGGAAGGTGGAAATGCATGTGAGATGTTGGAAAGGAAATGGGAAT